TTTGTGAAGAATGTGTCATGTGGTCTGTGGCTCCTGAGTCAATGACCCAAGAACTCGTAATAGGCTTAGCCGAGACATTTAATCCATGAGAACCAGAAGCTTTACCTGAACTAGAAACTTTACCCAAAGAACATACCATAGTAGGCTTTTCAAGGATTTTCAATAAGTTTCTCAGCTTTTCAATCTCTTCCCTGTTGAACTCTCCTTGTTTCTGAGACATCTGTAGTACTCTAGTGATTTTCCCAGTTAACATTTTCTCAAATTGAGGTGTAGTGATATCTTTCTTTGAAAGGGTTCGGCAATGAAGGCCTAAACAGGATTCGGCAATGAAGGCCTAAAAAAGTCAGCAATGAAGGCTGAAAATTTTGCTTCCCCAGAAGAGCCTAAAGCTCTGATACCATGTGGAAACTGAATGTATATTGAAAAACTGCTTATTCGAATTATACAAGAATCTTAGGTTTATATACAACTAACTAGGGGTTAAACTAGGAAACTAAATCTTCCTTAATTCTAGGGATACAAATACTTAATTCTAGAGATACAAATATAAATATACAGATTACAAGATTACAACCAGCTGTAAATAAGTGTTTTCCCACATCCTAAGGTGGCCCCCACCCAAGTGGATTGTGATCCAAGAGATGGTTGCAAAGATGAAGCAATCATATCTCCTGTTCCTATTGACTGTCTTCTATTATCAGCATTAAAACAATTGCTTCAGAATAATATGTAGGAAACTTAAGTCCTTATTTCTTCTTATTCTATCTACAATGAAAAGGTACATCTAAATAAATAGGAATAGTGAAGTTTCTTATTAGAAAACAACTTACATAAAACGAAAAAATAATAAATAATAAAAGGAGAATTATTCTATTCTAAAATAGAAACAAATCCCTAAAAACTTGACAATCAAAATAGTTGACTAAATTAGAAGAGTAAATGAGAAACATTTCCAAAATAAATTAGGAAATCAAGCTGCACTAATGTAGGAGAATCAGATCTACACTAATGTAGGAGAATCAAATTTCTACACTCCCCCTCAAGTTGGGTTATGAATGTTAATCATGCTCAACTTGGATTTCAATCCATCAAAAATGCTTCTAGGAAGAGCTTTAGTCAAAATATCTGCAATTTGTGAATTTGTAAAGATATAGGCCAGTTTGACCAACCCATTTTCTATCTTTTCCTTTATTAAATGTTGGTCCAGCTCTATGTGCTTGGTCCCATCATGATAAGCAGGATTTTTGGCAATACGTATAGTAGCCTTATTTTCACGAAACAGTGGCATAGATGTCACAGTCTGAACTTTTAATTCTCCAAGTAACCTCATCAGCCAAATTCCTTCACAAATATGATGGGACATTATTCTAAACTCAGCCTCGGCACTACTCCTAGCAACAACAACTTGCTTTTTACTTCTCTAAGTGACCAAATTGCCCTAAACATAAGTGCAATATCCAGTAGTGGACCTTCTATCTATTACTGATCCAACCCAATCAACATCTTTGTACACCTCGACTGCCCTGTCCATTAACTTCTTAAAATATAGACCTTCACCAGGACTCTTCTTTTAAGTACTGTAGGATGCAATGAACAGCTTTGAGATGCTCCTTGGTTGGATTATTCATGTATCTACTCACCATTCCTATAGCGAACCCGATATCATGTTATGTATGGGAAAGGTAAATACACTTCCCAAGTAGTCTTTGGTATAGCCCTTTGTCCGTGAGAGAGCTCTCATTTTCACTTCCAATTTTATTAGTTGAGTCTATGGGTGTATCGATAAGTTTGCATCCAATCATGCCAGTTTCTTTGAGTAGATCAAATACATACTTATGCTGAGACATTGATATTCCATTTTTAGACCAAGCCACTACTATCCCAAGGAAATATTTAAGGAACCCCAAGTCCTTAATTTCAAATTCCTTTGCAAGGAGTTTTTTCAAATCATCTATTCCTTCCTTGTGGTCTCTGGTGATTATGATATCATCCACATAAACAATAAGAATAACTCTTTTTCCTTCATTAATGAACTTAACAAACATAATATGGTTAGATTGACATTGAAGAAATTCAAACCTCTTAATTGCCTTGGTCAATCGTTTGAACTAAGCTCGAAGAGACTGTTTAAGTCCATACAAAGATTTCTTGAGTTTTCACACTTTGCTCATGTTGTCTTGCCTTTCAAAACTATGGGAAATTTCCATGTAGACATCCTCCTCCAAGTCACCATTTAAGAATGCATTCTTGATATCAAGTTGGTGGAGAGGCTAATCCAAGTTGGCAGCTAGTGACAATATAACTTTAATTGAATTGAGTTTGGCTATAGGAGCAAATGTCTCCTCATAGTCTATCCCATAGGATTAAGTGAACCCTTTTGTAACAAATCTAGCTTTGTATCTGTTTATACTTCCATCTACATTGTGCTTTATTATAAAGATCCACTTACATCCAACCGCGTATTTCCCTTTAGGCATCTAATATTTCTCATGTCCCATTTTTCTCTTGTACCTTGATTTTTTTCAAGAACTGCTGCCTTTTAATCTAGGTCATTAAGGGTTTCTTGAATATTTTTTGGAATTTGCATATTGTTAAGGTTAGTAGTAAATGCTCGAAAGTTTGGATTTAACATGTCATATGAGATGTACTTGCAGATAGAGTCTTGGGTGCATGATCTCACACCTTTTTTTAATGCAATAGGAATGTTAAGGTCACCAGTTGGCTCACAAGTTTCAATTTTAGTTTCAATAAGGACATTACCTATGTTAGTTTCAAGTTCTTGGAGGCTCGGATCAAGTTGATATTTAGTGCTGGGCTGTGTACAGTTTTTCACTTATTCCTGTGGTTTTTACTTCTTTGAGTAGACGATTATTCTTTTGTTTTTTCTTGCATAACCTTAGGATTTAAAGAGTCAAGAGTTGTCTGAACAGGTTAGGTTTCAGAATCTGAATGGCTGATAGGTCGGGTAGGTTGAGCATCTAGTTTTGAAGGGGCTAGTTAAGAATCTGGTTTTGAAGGGGTTGGCTAGGAAATTGGCAAGTCAACAACTAAGTATTGATATTCCTGAGTAGTATTCTCCCCCTGAATATCATTCTTGCTATAGTATGAAAGATTCTCAAAGAAAGTGACATTCATAGAGCTATAGAATTTTTTTGTAATGGATGAGTAACATCTACAGCCCTTTTGGTTTGGGCAATAACAAAGGCAGATGCATTTTAAAGCTTTGGGATCAAGCTTCTTATGGTTTTGTTGGCTAATTTGAACAAAGGCAATGCAGCCAAAGAGTTTGATGGGAATGGAAGAGATCAACCGAGTTTGTGGGTTGGAAGCAAGAAGAGTTTGACAATATGTTTTAAAGCCAAGAACTCAAAAAGGCATTCAGTTAACCAAATAAGTTCCAGTGAGGACAGCTTTTCCTCAAAAATATTTAGGCACATTGGAAGTCAACAAGAGAGATCTGATCACTTCTATCAAATGTTTATTTTTATGTTCGGCAACCCTATTTTGTTGTGAAGTGTCAACGCAAGAGCTTTGATAGATAATGCCATCCTTGGTCAGGTAAGGGCCAAGAATAAAGTTGAAGTATTCTCTTCCATTGTCAATTTTTAGGACTTGGATTTTAGCTTGGAATTAGGTTTGTACCATGCCATTGAAGTTTTGAAAGATTTGGCTAACTTCAAATTTTTCTTTCATAAGAAATACCTAAATGAGTTGAGTATAATCATCAAAGAATGTAACAAACCACCTAGAAACTGTGATATCGTTAACTCTTGACGGTCCTCAAATGTCACTATAAATCATTAAGAAAGGCTGAGATGATTTATAGGAAAGGCTAGGGTAGGTATTTCGAGTGTGCTTGGAAAGTTGACAAATTTCACACTGAAAATCTTTAGAGATGTTATTGAATAATAAGGGAAATAGCCTTTTAGGTATGAAATATTTGGATATCCTTAATCTATAATGCCATAACATAATAAGGTCATCCTTACTAGTACTAGAGGCTAAGTTGTACAAGAGTTTTGTAGTCTCTCAAGTGCATCATCTTGAAGAAAGTAGAGCCCTACACACATCCTAACATTGCCAATAATCCTCTCCAAACCCAATTCTTGAAATTCACATAAGTTGGGAAAAAATTTAGTGACACAACATCTATCCTTCATAAGCTTACTGATAGAAAGTAAGTTACAGCTTAAATTAGGGACATGGAGGACAAAGTTGGGCGTTATATCTTTCAAAACTACAATAAAACTTGTTCCTGCCACCTTTGAGAGAGAGCCATCAGCAATTTTTATAGCAAAACTATCATAACAAGGTTTATATGTGTTGAATAAATATGCATCCCCAATCATGTGATTTGATGCTCCTGAATCAACAATCCAAGATTGTGTATTTCCTTGTTTAACATTTAAGGCATTTAGGAAATTACTTTTTTGTACTTAGTAAACTAGTTCCAAAGGTTGCAAACTTGTTTTGAAGGGTTTGTTGGAGCATCACCTCTTTGTAACTTTCCTCATGCCATACTTTTGTAGAAGAAGAGTTCTCACTCCTGCTAAATGAAAACTCGTGTGGCTACAGTCTAATGGTTTATGACAAAACTACTGGATATTTGTTATTTATTAGATATGAGATAACACTATACTAACAAACCCCCATCACCTGTAGGCGCAGATGAAAAAAGCCTACTACGTAACAAATTTAGAAATAACAATAGAAGGAAATCCTGACTTTGATACTATATAGGAAACTTAAAGAACAATTGCCCTTATTTCTTCTTATTCTATCTACAATAAAGGAACACATCTAAATAAATGGGAACAGTAAAGTTCCTTATTAAGAAACAACTTACATGAAATAGAAAACAAAAAATAATAAAAAGAAGGAGAATTATTCTATTCTAAAATATAAACAAATCTCTAAAAATTTGACAGTCAGAATAATTGACTAAATTAGAATAGTAAATGAAAAATATTCTTAAAATAAATTAGGAAATCAAGCTGCACTAATGTAGGAGAATCATATCTCTATAGAATATAAGATGTTCAAAATGAATAAGTAAACATTTCATCAAGCAATAAACAAAACAAGGTTACACATATCACAGCATCCATTCATGAAATGAGAAAAGCATAAAAAAGAAAGAAAAAATAATCAATAGAGTATCATGCATTCTAAAGATGAGTAGCAAGCACACATTAAAAGTATATAAGATGAAAGAGAATTGAAAAAGTTATGCGAGTAAAAATATCAGTTAGCTAGACTAATTTATATTCTGTTAAGACTTAAGAACCAAACAAGGACACATGACAAAGAAAAGCAACAATTTTGCCTTCATTATAGAACCAACCTTTGAGGGAAAGACTGGTCATTCCAAGTTTGTCTCGTTGCACGCAATGTGGACGAAGCAGAATAGGGAATAGAAGCAACTGATCCATTATCTTTGCTATATGTAGCTTTATCAAACTCTACAAAAAGGAACAGAATGTCATATTAAGAATACCAGAAAAAACAAAAATTTTACACTATTGCCACCAATGCATACATGCTCCAAAGGCTATACCGTTGGATCTGATTCCTATTGATCTACTCCGCCCAAAAGAATGTTCACTGCCACCTCTAACAATAGGATTAGATGCACCATTGCTAGCTCGAGCTTTTAGTTCTTGTGGCTTCTTCATCTGACATATTAAGAAATAACAAAAATCAAATTCAAAAATAAAAATAGGAAAAAAATCAATTCAATAAAGGAGAAAAAAAAAACACATTATTAAAAGATTAATACCTCTTTTCTTTTTTCACGTTTGCTTTTCACCCCATGAAAAGTATCTATAAAATTGAAAATTATTAATTTTCTTAATATCTTTCAAATTTTCAGATACAAAACCAAAGATTGTCAAAGCCTTGTTTGACATTGTTTTTCCATTAACGTTGAAAGGGCATTGAATCACACATCACGTAAGAATTAAAATTTCCATTGATTTTAGTTTTTCAGCCAAATAGAAACTTTTTAGTCAAAGAACTCAAAAGGCAACACATTATTTATTTTTAGGCTAAAAAAATTCTTTGCAAAAATTAAAAAAAAAAAAGAAAAATATTGGGAGAGAAACGCAGGGATTTGAGAAAAAGGAAAACTTGTAACTTCTAAAACTTCTGACAAATTGTTAAAAAAGTTTAAAATAAAACCTTTTTCACCGTAAAATATTATAAGAAAATATATTAGGGAAAAAAAACAAAAACTTTTTAAATTATATTTTTTTTTTAGTTTTCTGAGCAACCAAACACAAAAGTAGCTTGAAAAATACAAAAGCAAAAGCAGAGAAAACAAATATATTTATTGTTATATACTAGAAAAAAAGGGGGGGAAAACCTTGAGAGAGGAGGCGTTGAACGGCGTCGTTAGGGTCCATATTACAGATAGCGTAGATTTTTTAGTCTGGACAGTTGTTATTAACTATCTCTTTAAGGTTCTGCACCACTTTCTTCACCGATGCCGATATCTGTCCATTGGCACCATTGCCTCCGCCACTACCATTGGTCTTACTATCACTTCCCATCGCTCTCTCTCTCTCTATATATATATACGTGTGGCTTATCAAATAAAAAAACAGAGAATTGAAAAAAATTTTTACTCATTCTTGTTCTCTCTTTTCTTTTTTGTTTCGGGAGCATTTTTATTTTTGCCATTTTTTGTTTTAAAAAAGGAGGCTACTATTTGCGTCCAAAAATTTTTCAATCTAGCCCAAAAAATTAAGCTTTAAGAAAATTATTTAAATGTTTATTAATTAATTAATTTTCATCTGTACCCTTCTCAATTGGGTTATTGGAAATGAATTTTTAAAAAAATTTTTAATCTATTGAAAATTTTTTTTTTGAAAACTTTTTACTATACCAAAAAAGATATTTTTGAAAAATGTTACAATTATCTAAAAATACATTTTTGAAAAACATTCTAATTATCTAAAAATGCATTTCAAAAGGTGTTACAATTATTTGAAAATGTGTTTTTGAAAGTAATTTTTTACTTCGGTTTCTTTTGTGATATTTTGATTAATGTTTGACACGAGAATATTGAATGTCTTTTGTTATGAGCTCCAAACAGGTCTCTAATGATTTCTTTGATGTATGAATCATTTTAATCCGACAATAGAAACCTCTAATTCTTTAACTATACTATCTATTCAATAATGTTTGCAACATTTTTTTAATTATAACAAACGTGCATATGAAAGAAATCATTAATTGTGAAAATGAATTCATGCAAGTGACTACCGAGCATGTATAATGAAGTAGTCACGCTCCATTGCATATGATGTAATAGTTAACTTACACGAACGTCTCTTCACAATTAACATTTCTTTTAGATGCATGTTTATCAAATTTGTAAAAATGTTGCAAACGTAATTAAATGGATAGTGCTTAAAGGTGAAAAGATTAAAGATCCCCATTGTCGGATTTACCAGTCCACTAATAATATAATGAGGTCAATGTTTCTTACAGTACCAAGTTATTGTGTACTGAAAATCCATTTTTTGAAGGTTTTTAAAGATTATAAAAATAAATGCCTGAAAACCATTGAAAAATTTTGGAAATACACTTTCAAAAATTATTTAAACTTTTAAGAAATGGATGTTTGGAAGTTTATAAAGGATTTTGAAAATGAATTTCGATAAATTGAAGAAGTTTTCAAACATTCACTTTCCAAATTCTTTGACAATTTTCAAAAATTCATTTTCAGAATGCTCAAATCACTCCCCAAAACTTAAAATCCTAAATTTGTTGAACTAAACACAGAATCAAATGAAAAAATAAAAAAAATAATGACTAACCTCTGATTTTAAGCTATCTAACTTAGAGTGCAAATAGCACCATTTTGTTTCTTGTTATATAAAGAGGGAAATTTGTAATTTTTTTCTTGTTTTTATGCTTTATAGACTCTTTTTGAGTGCCAGGTAAAATAACATCCTCTGTAGAATATTAAAGGGGCGTTTAATTTAAGAAAAAATTATATTATCTTCTTAAATCTTGCATATTTAAATATAATCTTTAGTTTAATTTAGGGAATCTGATTCTTGGGGCATTTTAAGATTTTCAACATTGTCCAAATAATCCAAAATAAAAAATCCATCTCTCCTTAAGGTTTTTTAAGATTCTTAGAAGAAGGCAATAATACATTTTTTGGTCTATTTTATCCTTGAAAATTAATGTAATTGTATAATAAATCGAAACCCATTCTAACATGAAAAGCTACATTCATAGTTATATGATTGGGCAAAACTACATTCCTAACCACAAGCTTGACACCTGGCAACGATTGGACACGTAGTAAATTACATATAATAAAAACAAAATTTCAAAAAAAAAAACAAATATAGTAGATTACTACAAATTTAAGATTATGGATTTTTTTTTATTTTAAAAAGCACTATGTTTTTACATACGAAACTTAGTTGATCAATTAAAATAATACTCACTTTGTACTATTTTCTTTATCCATATATTTTTTTTGAGATGTCCTAAAATTATGTCATTTTTCTTTTTTTAAACATTTAAAACTCTTACTTTTTTATATTTTAAAATTTTTTTACTTTTCAACTTTAAAAATCATAGAACTTTAATTTTATAAAAAATTTGAATTTTAATATTAAATATATCAAAGTCAAAGCTTTTTTCTTAAACTCTAAAAAAGTCAATACAGCCCAAACATTTTGGGATGAACAGGATAAAATAAATTATATATTTTCAATATCAATGACATTTCTTAGTTTGGAAATGTAGTAATGGATATAATATTGTAACAAAATATTGATAATACTTTTAACCATGTTTTTTATATGAAAAAAGGTATCATTTGTTAAATAAAAAATTTTTCTTTAAATCAATAACTATGTTTCTTGTTATGAAAATGTAGTCATTGATAAATCATAATTTTTTTATTTTTATAAGTACTACATTTTTTATATATAAAACGTAATTTATCATTTAAAAAATAACAAAATAAATTTTTATTTTCAATATCAATAATGTTTCTTAGTATAAAAATATAGTAATAGATATAATATTTATAATAGAATATTTAAGATATTTTTAATTGTGTTTTTTATGCAAAAAACATAGTGTTTGATAAATATAAAATTTTTTCAATATTAATAACTACGTTTATTGTTATAAAAACTTAGTCATTGACAAATGTAGTAATTGATCACCTAGAAATGTAGTAAATTACAATGATCATGGTTTTTAGTTTCAAAACATCATTGATAATAGATAAAAAATAGCAAAACAAATTTACATTTGAACATGATAAAAACCACATTTCTTTTTTAACAACATCGTAAAGCGTTAGTCAAACTCTATATCGCATCTTTTCTATTTCACACAACATCACCTTCTAACTTTGTGATTTCATTTTCATGTGATTCATTTTATCTTATCTTTATCATTATATTGTCAGTCTACTTTTTGTTTTGTACAATCTATTTTATATTATTTGTTTGTGTCCAATGTCTTCTTGTTATTTTGATAGATCTGGGTCAGATCTTGATTAAAAAATTATTGATCTATCATACATGTTCTTACTATTGGTTTTTTTTTTTGTTCTCGATCTACAAATATTTTCTTGCTATTTCTTTATCTAATCAAATTTTTTTTGCGAATTTTTTTTCATTGGATGTGGCTTAAATCTTGATATACCAAATGTATATTGCTACTTTTGACACATGTTTTCAACACTAACAGAAATCTTTTTTATAAATAATTATGGCTTATTTATCAATAAAAATGAATATGTAATTGGTAACAATGTTTATTTTGCAAATGAACTAGATGGAGAGTATGTTTCAACTGTTGCTTATTGTTGTTGTGACATTGGTTGCTATGAAACTTAAAAAAGGATATGAAATCTTTTATGCTAATAAAACTCTTGATAGGTTTCAATTAGGTTATTAAACTTAAAACAAAATAGTCTTTAAGAATGATATACAAAGTATGAATAATTATATAATGAATAGGAAAGCTTTTGCAAAATTATATCAATTGTTTCAAATAAAAAAAGAATTAAAGGCATATAAACATATGTCAATAAAATAAATAGTTATTAGCCTCCTTCAATCATTGCCCATCATGCAAAAAATAGGGTTATGAAGCGTCAAGTAGTTAGATCTGAAGAGATAATTAGTAGGCAATTTCATATTATGTTGAATTCTGTTTTAAAACTATATTTCCTATTGTTTAAAAAACTAGAACTAATAGCAGAGAACTCAACAGATAATAGATCAAAATGGTCAAGGTAAAGCATTAATCATTACTTGCTTTGAATAAATATTAATAAATCTTAATTTTATAATAATATATTAATCAAAGTTGTTGGGTTTAGGGTTATTTAAGTGCCTTAGATGGAACATTTAGAAGGGTAAATGAAGACTCAGTTGATAGGCCTAGGTATAAGATTAGAAAAAATGGAATTGCTACCAAAGTTTTTGGTGTTTGCACACCAGACATGCAATTCATTTATATTCTATAGGGATGGAAATGTTTTACAGTAGATGACAAAGTGTTTAAGGATACCATTACACATAAAAATAGTTTAAGGATCTCACAAGGTATTAACTTTAATATTTTGATTTTAGTTATGCCATAAAATATATTTTAAATGTATAGTAATATTGTAACACTAGATTAGATTTTTACTATTTGTGTAATGTTGGATACATAAATGAGGAAGATTTTTTGGCACCTTATAAAGGTCAAAGATACCATTTAAATGATTGAAGGCCAAGACACCAACCTTCAACATCTTAGCAATACTTCAATATGAAACACTCTAAAGCGAGAAATTATATTGAGATATGTTTCGATTTATTGAAAGTTAGATAGATAATTTTAAGGGCGACTAAAAGAGTAGTTATATATTGTTTTATCATCATCTAATATAATTTTAGGAAAATAGATAAATGAAATTCTTTTGTATTGAATATTTTTCTAAATACTCTATTACTTTGGTAGTATTTTTTTAGACAAATAGCCTTATCTAGAGATTTTAAGAAATCACTACTCAAACTTTTTTAAAATCTCATCTTTGAAAATTTCGTTTATTATTATTATTATTATAATTATTATATTTACATTAAATTAGTGTGCATAGAAAATAAATTGAATCAAAAATAATTTACAATATAAAAAAATAAATTGCATGGAATTAAATTTAACATGAAAGCTCAAACCACACAAATTTCATAACATATAAGATTTATGCTTAAATTAAACTTAATAGCATGAAAGAAATAAACATATAATATATATAAAAAAAACAAATGTACTATAACATTTATTAACCTATAAAACTTAGGCTTTAAAACATGAATGATTGAACCTTGAAATCATGTCATTTTTAATCTTTCTTTACCATATAAGATAAAAAAGTATGAAAGCTTTAAGCTTTCTTCACGATGGGACTCTTTTATTTTTTTTATATTAAACTTATATTAAACTTAAAAACATGAAATAGATAAATATAAAAGACAAATGTATTATAAATTTTATTAACCTATAAACCTTAGGCTATGAAACATGAATGATGGAACCTTGAAATCATGTCTAGTTTT